TCAATATTGACAAGGGCAAGCTCTCTCTCTTTGAGGCGATTCCCCAAACGGCCTGGGAGGGTTCTGACACTCGTCCAGGAAAAGACCTTGTCCTGCGAAGGATTCGAAATCTGAGATGCTGCGTGCAGGCGTGTGGCTGCAACAAAACGACCCCTAGACATGCGCTGCAATTTGCCTCCAAGTTGTGTTGGTTGACTACCGAACGGGGACGGCGCAGAACGCGGAGACAACCAGCGCCATCGCAGCTGCGCTGCTCGCCTACTACACCTCGACGCAAGTGGACGCCTTGTACCAAACGGGACACATAGACGCAGGACGTTTTCACCAGCAACCAGATCACCTTGGCGCTGGTGGCGTATCGCTCGGCTGCCGACCAGAACACGGCAACGGCCCCAAGCATCCCGCCCTGCTCAGCTAACACCGTCGCGCCAATTTTCGGCTTGCTGGCAAATTGGTCGGTTCGCCCCAGCAGCGGCTGCAGCGTGGTCCTGTGGCTATCTTGGTGTCTACCTCCAGCGGCGTGTGTAACCCGTCCGGCCAGCGCGCTTGCGTCCGCCTTGCCGGCGAGGGCGGCGTCGAGAACTGCTGTGGTGACTGCGTCTAGGAGGGCTGCCGCTATCTTAGAGTGCACCTCAGAGGAAGTGTCGACGGCCGACAGCAGGGCGTCTTGGCTTGCAAGCTTGGAGGCTAGCGCTGCGGCGGTGTGTCGACCTCCAGCTGCGTGATCCTCGCTGCGATGTTGAGGGAGTGCTGGTCCACCACCGTCTTGAGGCTGTAGTTGGCGTGCTGTAGTTTGACAGCTTCAGGTCCACGCCGTTGGGGGACTGGCCCGCCTTGTTCAAGATTTGCAGCGCGGCAATGCTCCTTCCGTGCGCGGCCACCTGCCCGTCCGTGGTGGCCAGGGCTGCTGCCATGGCCAGAGGTGCGATTGCTGGCGCTGCTGTCCAGCTTCGAAGCCGCTCTGCGTGACCCGGGGACTGGATGGCAGCGGCGTTGTTGCCCGATGCTGCCGTGTTCACGGCCAGGTCTACCACTTGCGCGTAGGGCCAGCTGCTCTGCGGTGACGTGCGTGCCTTCCGTTACCTCTCCGTTGTTCAGGGCCTCCAGGATGTTCCCGGTGCCTGGTCCTTCAAACATGTTTTCTTAGGAGTGTTTGCGCGAGCCCAAACATGCCAACGAGGATCTGAGGAAAGTCTCGGATTTGTGGTCGAGAAGACCGACCAGTTGCTCATGCAAATCCCGCACAGTTGCCCTGGAAGAGGCGACTGCGGAAAACGTGCGGTTATCGTGCGGTGAGGCGTTGGAGGACACACTGTGACTTTTTGCTGAAAACCAGGCTCGGGAAGCGAGACCGGCTGTGCGGCTTCGCTCGGAAACGAGACCGGCTGCGCGGCTTCGCTCGGAAGCGATGCGGCTTCGCTCGGAAGCGAGACCGGCTGTGCGGCTTCGCTCGGATGTAGAAACAATTACAAGCTCGGCTGGCTGCCGTGTCACCCCAAAGGCCCCGTAGCTCCGTCGGTAGAACGCCTCTCTCAGCAGCGCCCTGACCCGGGGCTCGATTGACATCTGTCACAGAAACAATGACATCGCGGAATCAATGACTTGCGACGCTGAAACGACGACGCGTGCCGCAGACACGATGACTTCTGCCACACAAACGATGACACACCTCGCAGAACCGAGGACACAGCAATGTCATCTGTCACAGAAACGATGACATCTGTCACAAAAACAATGACTCGGCTGGCTGCCGTGTCACCCCAAAAGCCCCGTAGCTCAGTCGGTAGATTGCCTCTCTCAGCAGCGCCCTGGCCCGGCTGGTGATGACATCTGTCACAGAAACGATGACACGTAGAAACAATGACTGCCGCGTCACCCCAAAGGTCCCATAGCTCAGTCGGTTACCACGCCTCTCTCAGCAGCGCCCTGGCCTGGAGCTCGACTCCTGGCGATGACATATGTTACAGAAACAATGACATATGTCACAGAAACGATGACATCGCGGAATCGATGAAATTGTGACGCTGAAACGACCACGCGCGCCGAACTTCTACCACACAAACGATGACACACCTCGCAGAGCCGAGGATGCAGCGATGTCATCTGTCACAGAAACGATGACATCTGTCACAGAAATGACAAGGTCGGCTGGCTGCCTCGAATCCCGGTATGGGCAAGAAGGCTCTCAGCTGCACCACGCCTTTGGCATTAATGCCTGGATATTGACTCAATAATGCCCTGATATCGAGGCGTGTAGCCTGCAGAGCCGCTCTCAAGCGAAAAAACGAGGTTTTCAGAAGTTGCAGAAATTGGCCATTTTGTGCCCCTTTTCCACCCCGCGGAAGCCGATGACAGGCGGTGGCATCCCAATGACAAGCGATGACATTGGCCCAAAAAGTGCCGATTATGTCTCCTTTTCGGGCCAAAGCCGCAAATTACTTGGTCCGTATAAGCTGATGTTCCTTACTACTATGTTCGCCAGAAGCGAAAGACTAGAGCACTTCGGCGCCTTTGGCGGGCCGATCCCCGGCAGCAGTCGGCGGGCACGCTGGACCTGTACAGCCTGCAGAGCATCAGGGCCACTGCCTTCGAGGGAGAGTTGGTCTCCGTGACGGACCTCCCGGGCAACGCTGGCCGACCAGCTGCTGTGCAACGACGCAAACTGCACGGACGTCTTCACGACGGGCGTGGACGCCGCGGAGGTGATCCTGCGCAGCGATCAGCCACGGCGCCGTCCGCGCTATCGGCCACCGTCTTCACACACTGCGCCGTCACTTCGAGGACGCAGCGCTTCAGCACTGCGCGCGTGTCCGTGTCGAAGACCTTGTCGAGTGGGCGAGCGCTCCACGTCATCCCACCCTCCAGCATGAGGTCCGGAGGTTGAACCCAAGTCTTGGACCATGATGATCCTGAATGTTTCGTTGGTGGTTTCACGTTGTGGTAGCGACATTCGGGTGACAGGCCAAGCAGATGCTTCAGCGTGTTCACTCCTTCGCCTTGCGCCAATGCTGCTGCCGCTGATCTGAAGCTTGTTCAGGAGCAAAGGCCTCTCGTTTTGCAGAAGGTTGCGCTCCACTGTCAAGTCCCGTCTCGGGCTACCACGCCGGCCAGGCAGCTTGCCAGAGGAGTTTTCCCCTTGCCGCTGTAGAAGATCGGGCCTCCGCTCGTCGCGAGCTCGCTGATGAAAGTCGATCATCTAAAGCTGGCGGTGGCACGGCGCCGCGCCTTAGAACTGCGCAGAGGGGCTTTGACTGATGGAGGGCAGACGAGAAGGTCAGCTGTCACGCGAGCGGCTCTACAGCGTTCCTCTCGGAGTCTTGAAGAATTCCAAAACTGGCAAAAGGGGCACTGGGTTTTTTTGGAAATTTAGTCAACATGAGGGCCACGTCCTGCCCGAGTTTGCCAACAAGTGGATTTCGAGTTTGTGCTCTGCCACGCCCGTCGGCACGCTGGACTGCTGTGGCACCGTGGTAGCCAAACACGAGCGCCCGGAGGTGAAGAACTTGACCAGAGCCGAGTCCAGGACCACCTAGAAGGCCAGAACCCTCACGTTCTAAGTTGGTGCTTAGCATGGCTCCTGCCGGGTGTCCCCGGCGTTCTCGGACAACAGCGCAGTCGCAGCATCCGCAAACTCCGTCTCAATCACCGGTTCAGCTGTGGGGGGAGCATCTTGCCGCAGCACAGCCTGCTAGGTGCCTCAGAGTGACGGGGGCCCTCACGACCCGTCGTCCAAGCCCGTCTCCACGATGGTGCCCGCGCCGCTTTTCGGCATGATCTTGGACAGGATGTCGAGCGCGCGGCTGGCGTTGGCCAGCTGGGCGCAGCGCAGGTAGACCTTGCTGTGCGCCATCATGACCTGCTGGCCTCCCAAGACGCTCGGGCCGAGCATGTGGTCGACGCTGTTATTTCCCCCTCAGGTGGGTTTTCTAGGTTAAAGACAACCTCGTAAGTTTTATAGGTGGCCTTTTGGCCAGCCGGAGGAGCATGTGGAAATCCCTGTTTAACCATGTTATTGTTTTTTCTTTCAGGCCACACCCTGAGGCCGCCGGCCGCAAGGCCCAGACGCGTCCCCTGTGGGTCGAAAAGGCTGGCGCTGTTTCGTGTGTGGGATTTGTCTGGGTGTGTGTGTGTGTCTTGCGGCGTGTGCGTTCCATGTTAGACACTCACTGGTTTTGGCAAATGCTCTGTTTGAGCAATCACCCAGTTAGGGAAATAGAATGCGCATTCAAAGTTGAAGGCCTGTGCAGCTAGGTGTGCCGCCTTGCAACCTGAGCATCTGCGCACCTGTTTTTTTGTTTCTCAAGGTATTTGTTTAGAAGTATTGCCCGCTCCATTTCAACCCATGAAAAGGAAATTGCTCAACTTGACCTTGCCTGCATGCATTCTTTGTAGCGCCAGTTGATTGACGTGAGCAAAAAGCTGCACGATTTACGTAAGGGCCGCAATGCAGAATTTCCGAACACCAGTGTTCTGACACAGGATTTGCAACCGGTGCTGTGCCATTGAGAAAGAGCTCACGCAGCAGGGAAAATCAATGAACAGCAAGAGCCTAAACAACGGGAAAAACATGAGAAACCGCTCCAAACCTGAATGCAACTTCACCACGGAAGTTATAAGAATCAAAACTACTTTGCGACATCAGGGACGAGCAAGGCTTTTTGCGACGGCAAAGGCGCAATGGACGTTTTGCATGGCTCCAAAAAGACGTTTGGTTGGGATACGAGTTATTCTCAATCTACGAGTTTCACTCATGGACTTCGTCGCTAGCAAGGATTCGTCTTCGAATTTACGGGCCGAGCCATCAGCCATGGGCGGCTTCGTTGATGGGGTTAACGGGGAGCGCTGAACATGTTGCTGAAAATGGTGGTGCTGGGTATTTTTTTCGGTTTCCTTCAACCAGTATCAAAGACAGAGGTTCAACAAAAGCTCAGGAACATTCTGGTGTTTGTTTGGTTGTTTGTTGTTTTAGGTGTTGAAGAGACTTCGCGTGCGACGTTGCAGCTTTTTGCGTCAAGTGTGTGAGTGGTGTGATAGCCTCAGACCAGGCTGGAATCGGGTTGTATGGATGAGTTTTCCACCAGAATCTCGCACACACACACACACAAATCTGGAGTGGCTTGAGCAAACATGAGGCATCCTCTTGCAAAACCTTGTCATGGGTGTTGCATGTGTATGTCAAAACATCCATTTGCTTAAGAAGCTTTTGTTTTTGTTTTTGTTTTCCCCCCCCTGTTGGTTTGCAGGTCGGATGGCGGAACAAGACCAGATGCCCTTCCTGGAAAGCGGCGGGGAGCCGAAGCTTCGGTGAGCTGACACCAGTCATGAACTTGAATTCCACACAACACCGTGGTCCATCCGAACTTTTCCATAGCCTTCGGCGTTTTTCCGTGAGGTTTAGAACTCCAGATTTGGTATATGAGATGTTTGAGATCAGGGATCGGTCCGAGTTTGGCGGAAGCGGACGTTTTGGGGCCAAGTTGCCATCAGAACCTCTCAGGGCCTTCGATGTGTTCGACCCAAATTCACCGAGGTGTTGAAGCGGATGCCGAGAGCTTGGGGTTCGCTTGCGGGATGGGTGTGCTCCTGGGTGTTTCTTGCATGCAGGTGGTTTTTCTCTTCTTCTTCTTAGCGCTTACAGCCTGGTTTAGGCAGATGTGGTGGGGGGGACCCAATCAAGTAATGTTTTGTCAGGGAAATGATGAATTGTCTGTCCGAAATCTTGCTCAGGCACCTGCGTCGAAGGCATGGGCTCGTGGGTTTGTGGGCTTCGAAGGATCAGACTGGGCTTTCAGAGCGCATGTTCGATTGGAGGTTGGCTGGCTGGCTGGCTGGTTGGCTGGTTGCCTGGTTGGCTGGTTGGCTGGTTGGCTGTTGGCTGGTTGGCTGGTTGGCTGGTTTGGCTGGTTGGCTGGTTGGCTGGTTGGCTGGTTGGCTGGTTGGCTGGTTGTTGGTTGGTTTGGTTTGGTTTGGTTTGGTTTGGTTTGGTTTGGTTTGGTTTGGTTTGGTTTGGTTTGGTTTGGTTTGGTTGGTTGGTTGGTTGGTTGGTTGGTTGGTTGGTTGGTTGGTTTGGTTTGGTTGGTTGGTTTGTGGGTGGGTCGGTCGGTCGGTCGGTTGGTCGGTCGGACACTCGGTCGGTCGGTCGGTCTGCCGGCATCTTTGATCGGTAAAACGTGTGGGGGCAGTCACTGTTCATTACACATCTCTGACACAGGCCCATCTCAGAAGCTTTGAAGAACCTAGGTTACGATTTCACTCGCAGCTTCAACCTGACCCGAGTAAGTCTCAAGGATTTGCAACAAAGGGCCTTCCAAAAAGACCCAGGAAACATTTGTGGTTGCTGAATGGATGGGTGAGCATGGAAAAGGACTCAACCCTTACAATTCTGCTTGGCCTGAGTGTGGCCAGGTGAGACGAAGCGCTGTCGCCGTAGCTGTGGCTGCCATTGCTGCTTTGGCCTCGGGGCCAAGAATTCAGCATGGAGGGAAGTCCGGCCGACCCGGTAGATGTTTGCGCATGGTGAAAATGCACAAAACCAAAAGACACACGGAAGCAAATTTTCAATTCAAAAGGAACTATGAGCATCCCCGATTCAACACGCTTGAACCCTGTTGCAGGCGTTTAAGCATTTGGGAATGCCACCCTTGGTGCCCCTAGAACTGTTTGCCTGGATCGCCAGTGGCAACAGTGACTGAAAAAAAAGGATCGCAACTTGGCCAAACCGTTTTGGTGGTACCGAACCGTTTTGGTGGACGATTCGGATTTGCTCAAGCCGACCTGTCCGAGGTCCTGGGCTTGGTGCTGTCCCGGACGTGGAGAAGTCCGCTCCGGGGTGAGGCGGAGCAGGCGTGGGGGGGTCCGTTTCTTTTCTTCTTCTTTCGCCGCGAGAAACGGCAGGCAAGGAGGGAATGAACCCAGGCTTTGGTTTTTCTGAAAGGAAACCACAAGGGATGGAAGTCTTGGGGTTCATTCCGACATTTACTGAGCGCCCGGGGGGTTTCTGTCCACCATTTTTTTGTTCTTGCGGGGTAACACCGGTCACAGAGTTTCAGCAGGATTTGGTCCTCTTTCCGTTTCGCTCGCTAGGCGGTGGGCCTCTCGGCGAGCTACTGCCAGCAGGCAAGTCCGATGGATCTGGCTGGACCCGTCAAAACCGTTGTGTTGGATCCCGTTTTGGGCAAAAACGGGAGGTGGGTCCAACTTTTTTTTGGGATCAGCGATATGGCTGTGGGTGTCAAAACTTTCAAAACCAATGGTATCCCATTTTTTGGGGGATTGGGTGAATTCACCACCCTTTTTAGAACCCATTTTAGTGGTTGGATTGGGATGTTCACTGGGGTACGATTTGGATTTTGACCTACAGCCATCTCAGTCTTAGGCAGACGGGGTTTCCCAAGCGAGTGAAGGGCGATGGCGAGACTTTTACCCCATACCACTGGTAAGGTTGACCCCATATTCATGAACCCCTGTTGAAAAGAATGTTTTTGATTTTTTGGCGTTTCGTGGCTGATCACTTTTGGAGGAGCTTTTGGCCCCATATGAAGATCACTTTTGGGTTGATTCATGTGGGGTCAAGGAGTCGCAATGACTGGGCCTGGGTGTCCCAAAAAAAAGGCCCGAGGGATTCGAGCGCCTTTTTGGAAGGCGAGGTGCCAAATGGCTCGATTGTTGTGATCCTGCGTTCCGTGGCGGTTCGAATGATACGTCCGCGTTCTGCCGAGGTTCTGCCTTCGACGGGGATGGATTTCTGAACTAGCCTAAACCATTCCCTGAAATAAAGAACAGGAGCTCATTCTCCCCAAGTTTCCTCTACCGAACAGGAACTCTCCCCAAGTTTCTTCTATGTTCCGGAGATCACTCTCCCCAAGTTTCTTCTACCTGACCGCCCCAATCTTCCCCTTTCCCCCCAGAAGAGGAGATAGATCACTCTCCCCAACTTGGTCCCTCGCCCCGCGCGGGAGCTCCCCCTCGCCCCGCGCTTGAGGCCTCCGGGGAGATCCTGCGCTGGTGCTGCGCGCAGGGCATGCTCCAGTGTGTCCGGCAGCCCGACCGACGCGGGTGGGGGGGGGGTGGGTTTAGGGGTGTGGTTTTAGGGGGTTGGGCGGGTTGGGGGGGTTTAAAGGGTTGGGGTTTGGGGGTTTGGGGGTTTGGGGGTTTGGGGGTTTGGGGGCTTGAAGGGTTAGGAGCTCGGGGATTTGGGGGGGGGAGTTTGGGGGCACACCCCGAACCCTTCAAATCAAACCCCCAAACCCCCAAACCCCCCCCCCCCCCCCCCCCCCCCGCACCCGAAACAACCAAATAACAACAAGACCAAACTTCGGGGGGTGTTTGGGGGTTTGGGGTTTCTCGGGGCTGGTTTTTCCTTTTTTTTGGGGGTTGGAAGGTTTGGGGGTTGGAAGGTTTGGGGTTGGCCCAGACGTACCTGGATGTTCTAGCAGGTAGATTATGATTTGTAACCAAGTTGAGAATTGGGGGCAGCATGATTGTTTTTGTCGAAAATTGTACATGTGCGTTTAGTTGAAATTTTGCTTGTTCTGTATGGTAATCTGCACTCAAGCATTCTTGTCCGAGGAAAATGTCTTACAAAGGACATTCTGAAGGTTAAATCAAGGTCCGGTACATGGACTGTCACGGAACATGCGCGGAAATTTGCGAGGATTGATTGTGTCTTTTCACGGTAACCTCTGCTTGGGTGTAAACATAAATCGCCGTGTCTCCATGACACATGTGTTCTTGACAAGCTTGGTTGTTTCGCCATGAAATGGGACTCTGGAAGTCCATAGTCTACACTGAGAATCCGACCAAGTCTGGCTTTTACCAACGTGGGTCCCTGCCTCTTGGGCTTGTCCTAGCCTTTTGGTGCCCTCCAGTGGCAAGGATATCCAGAGGAGCAGGTCCTGTGATCAGAATCCAAGAGACTCCACATCCAAATCCCGGGCCCTTGTCCCACGGGCCCTTTTGAATATGGGAGCCAATTCATGCACGGCGCAGTTTCTGCGAGGCCGATGCCAGCCCTGTGGAGGACAGTTGGAGCCTTCAGAAGCTGGTCGAATGGAAGGGACGGCCACCGTTTTTTTTTTTTTTTTCCTTTCTGGGCGTGGTGATTCTCTTTGCGCGGAGAGATATATATCTTTGCCTGGTCTTGGCTTGGCCTTGACTCATGTGCATAGCAGTAGCGGATGCTGCCAATTCACAAGACACCTCCAACTAGCCTATGGTTCGCGGCCGCCAAAACCATTTCGGGGGGGGGGGGTGGGGAGGTCACCCAATTTTTGTTTCCCATCTTTTGGTTGTTCGTGGCAAGTATATCCCCAGGAGTTGATATTCGCGCGCCTCACATAGGACTCTATGGCGATCTCGGACCTACCGGTCGCTGGCTTGGAAGCAGACCGTTGACTTTGGGGGGGAAGAGTTGATCTCTTCGGGGCAGCTGTTGCGTGGAGCTGCGAACTTGCCCGCAACACCTCAACATGCTTGTTGTTGGGAAACATTTTTCCCATTTTTGCTTATTGTGGTTTAGTCCTTCCAACGTCAACCAAGCCAAGTTGCCAAAGCACGAAAGAGCGAATGGACCACCATGTCTCTTGAGGGACTTGTCCAGCTGGATGTTGTTCATGTCGCATGCGTGTCCCTGCGAGCAGGCTTCCCGGGCTGGCCATGGGAACCCCAAGCCCTTCTTTATCCATGCAAAGCCCCTCTCAACAGACTTGGCCCGGCCAAAATTTGAGAAGCTTTGTTGTGGGTTGAAGACATGTCCTCCATGTGCATGGCCGGTTTGCCAAGCCAAGCTCGGGCTGGCTTTTGAGCTTTGCAGCTGTCGGGCGCCATGGATTGCGCCATGTCTTACATACCTTCGAGCTTTCCCCCCCCCCCTCCGTTTTTGTTGTTGTTTTGTCCCCCTCTTTTTTTCCTTTTTTTTTTTTTTCTCCCTCGGTTGTTTTTCGACCTGGGGCTCGTCGGTTCGTGGGCTGCTTGAACCTGGGTCCCTAAGGATTGGACCGCGCAGTCCGTCCCGGAACACCACGTGTGGGTGCACCCGGAGGACTCCGAGCGTCAAAAACAAAGTCAGTGTAACGTAGTCCCAAAGTCCGCCGGTTTCGCCGTTTTGCTGCCTTTCCTGCCGGTCCTGTATGATGTGAACAAAAGGAAACGAAACATGGCTATTGGTATGTCTTCTTGGCTGGACCTGCTCCAAGTGCCCGTGGCACAAAGTGCCTCTCTTTGAAGACCCAACAAATTTCAGCGGTCAAAAAAATGATGTGGCCTGGTCATATGATTCTCGTTGTCCGCTCAACTGGTACTTGCTAATTTCTAGCCGGTTTTCTCCCTGCTTATGAGCTTTGGTTGAACTTGCGAATAAGTCTATGGTCCATTTGCCAGGGTTGGTTCTTTAGGGGAAGAACTGTTGGCGATGGCTCATATACAGGTCCGCCATGTTGAGAGACGCCGAACAAGTTTACACACACACACACACATGTGTGCATTTGAGGACTTTCGTTTGTTTTGGTTTGCTCAGGTCCAATTTCGATTACACGCTGAATCGTCCAAAGTCAGCAACAGGTTAGCATTCAGAAAAGAGGCGGGGGGCGTCGACCGATTTAGCCTGCGGAGCGGCGCGACAAGTGAGCGGAAAAGTAATTTCTTGGCTAACGCCTTGGCGATGCTTGGTGTCGACCGCTTTAGTCTTCGGACCAGAGCAACATGGGACTGGGTCAAAAATATTGTTGACCCACAGCCACATCTACTTTAGTGAGCCGAAATCGTATTCTTTGTTAAATGTTGGTGATGCTAGGCACAGCGACATCTACTTTTGTTAGGCACTGGTGATGCTGGGGGCGCCGACCACTTTAGTCAAGCAGCGTCACGTCGAATCATGTCGAGCTCAAAAGCTCAGTCAGCAGCGAGAAAGCGATAAGAACTTTGATGTTGTTGAATGACTTACTTTGAAAACTCGTGTTTGGAAACCGTTGCAACGATTCTGCGTCCCACACCTTGCCGCACGTGTGCATCCTTGAATCGCCTCAAGTTTGAGACCTTTTCAGGAGTTCTTGATTGTTTCGCTCCTGGGATGCAGGGGCGGCTTGGGGCAGGTTGCATGTATGCAATGTACTGCAATGTACTGTACTGTACTGTACTGTGCTGTACTGTACTGTACTGTACTGTACTGTATTGTACTGTACTGTACTGTACTGTACTGTACTGTACTGTACTGTACTGTATGAATGTGTGCATGTACATATGTGTGCACATACACGCGCACACACACACAGACAAACACTTCCATTGTAGAAATGTTGGAGAGCCCCTTGCCTGGGCGGTATTGCATTTTTCATTTCTGTAAACCTGAAACCGTGATTGGGTTCCAACAACACTTTCGACAAGTCCAGGCCACATCCACAGATTTAGGTAGAAAAAGGAAGTCGGGGGAGGAAAAATGGGGCATCCTCATGTCCCGGCAGTGGTCATTTGCCAATTGGATGCCGAGCAACGCATGGCCCTCACCAGAATCTGAGTTCGGTTGGGAAACAGGGAGACCCTCAAGATGATGGCTTTCCTTTTAGTTTCCCTCTAAACTAACACCCTCGAAGAAACAAAAACGCAAGCCCAGCTGAATATTGACCGTTGCGCTTTTTGGTATTTCTTCCAAGCAGCTCTGAAAGGCGACCACACAGGTTGTCGTACAGATGCTCCAAATTTCGCAATTCATAGCTAGACCACGGAGGGACGGGCATGATCTCAGAGAAAAGGTCACAGTTTACGCCAAAGCTTTAGAGGCGCCATGATTGTGAACGAGTAGAAATCGTTTTGGTGCACAAATGCCACCCGGCTCTGGAAAAATGCGTTTGCAGCGCTTGGCAACAAAAGTGGCAACATACACCGGCAAGCAAGCAAGAAGCATCGGAGTTGACGCAAGCACAAAAAAACAGAGGCCATAGTTTCCAAGATCAACTCAGACATTCGGCAGATGGAGCGGGCGCATGCTAGGAGAAGGGGAAGGTGGAACTTCGCAGAAAAATCATCAACCCAAAGCGACGCACAACCACCCACGGCCTAAACCAGCTCTAAAGTCACCCTAAACCAGCCCTAAACCCAGCAGCAACCAACCCACCATGAACCAGCACTAAACCCAACGCGACAGCCCAAACAGATGCAGCTCACTCCTTGCCAAGCAGCAAGCAGGCAGGTCGCTTAGATAAACGGGGCCCCACTTTGTTGACCGAGGCTGGGGGGGGGATTGGATTGCACCCCCAAAAGATGAAGCAAGGTTTTTTCCCTTTCCCATTCTGCAAAAATCATCCCACCACAGCCTTCCAAAGCGTCACTTCGCTTTTTTTGTTGGTCCGTTCTTTTTTCCTTCGGATGAACGGGACCTCGCAAGGAATTAATTCCCCTACCCGTTTTGCGGGTACCCCATTTTGACACATGCCTTCCATGGCCTCCAGGAAGGTCACTATCAGACCCATCACCATGGCCCGAGCGATCTAGTGTCTTGGCTCGCAAGCGGGGGACACCTTCGATCTTTTTTGCTCAAGGTGGTGGACTGAAGGAAAACGACCCCCCCCCCCCTCCCCGAAAAAAATATACAACAAATCCAACAAACAGATCTTGAGAGCCCCTCGAAATGTTCACTTGCCCTCCAAAATGGGAGTGGGGCGTATTTCCTAGACAGGCACTTGAAAGAATGGCCGCTGCTTTGTTGCGGGTCCCAGGAGTAAATGGGAGTGGGGCGTATTTCCAAACCTTCAAGACAGGCACTTGAATGAATGGCCGTTGCTTTGTTGCGCAGGAGTACCCGGATGGCTCGCACGTTCACATCGTGATTCATCACCACCACCACCACCCGGACCTCTCCGTGGCTGGGCCAATTCGAGTCTGCGACCTCTTAAAGTGAAACACTTTAAATGGATCCTCAAGGGAGCCATGTTGGGGGATCTTTGTTTTTGACTCCATATTGGGTTGAGGTGTGGTAAACCGATAATCCAAATACCAACTGCAGGATTTTGTCGATCGATTAAACAAAGAGAGGCCTCAAGCATGGGGGTGATTTGCAACCTTCCCTCGAACCAGGACCTAGTGATGGTCCATGTCTGCCATCATGGGCATGACATTGTCCACCAGATCGCTAGGAGCAACAACGGGTTACTGGGTTTACCAAACGCCTCCATAACACATTCAAGCAGTACGCGGCGCCAACAATGCCCGGCGCGTCTTGCTTTTTTTTTTTTTTGGGGGGGGGTACTCTTTTGGGTCTGGTTTTTTGAGGGGAGACCAAACGGGGTCCCTTAATGGAACTGGGTGAATTATAACGACCTCACACGACCAAACACCCTAAATGGTGGCTGATGTGGGGAATCGCTTTCCAACCACCGCAAGTTTCAGGTTGGTGACATATGATTCACCCAGAAATGGAACGAGGTTCTCACGTTTCCTCAGGCTCCGGACCACACCTTCTATGACTGCGACGTGGGCGCTACCCATTGGCACTCCGCCTGGTCTGCGGGAAAGCAAGACGCTATGAGCAATGGTCAGTGTTCGATCTTTGAAAGGCGTGCCTCCTTTTTTTGGGGGGACTTTGTGTTTTTTGTTTGGTGGTTTTAGAGGGAACAACAGAATGAGGAACAATTTTTTGGGCCCGATTCCGGGGAAAAAAACAAAAACACCCATCTGGGAACTTGTCCACACCGTCTGCGACTGATACTCGCTTGTGGCATCGAGTACGCTCACCAACTGGCTCCAAAACAGGACACCGCCAAGCCCGAGTTGGTAGAAGACAACGCTGGGAAACCCGCGATCCACCGGGTATTGGCTGGCTTTTTCACTGCTCTGCAAAAAGGAACGAGTGTGCGTGGTGGAAGCAGCGTACTGTTGGCAATGGTGGCCATGGTTTTCGGGGTCCACAAAGAGCAAGCAAACCACAGAAGTCCGAGGGGCATGTGTTAGTCGGGTATCTAGGATTGGTTGCCACTACCCCCCCCCCCCCATTTTTTAATCAACAGGGTACATTCCCTTATTTGTTGCGTCTATAGAAGGGTTGCATCTCCCAATCCATTTCTCGAGGTTTGTCCGGTTGCCGCGTGCAAGGACTTTTGCTGCAAGACTGCCTCGGTGGGTTGCGGGCACGACTTCGACTGCTACAAAGGCTTGGAAGGGGGTGGCGAGTCCGGTGATAGCTTGCAGTGGCCTCTTTCTCGATCTCGTCTCTGTCTCTCTCTCTCTCTCTCTGTTTGCATTGCAGCGTCATGTCGCCCCTGAGTTGCCTCGACTGCCCCTTCATGACCCCTGAATTGTCTTCGTACTACTGGCTTTCCCCTTAATTTCCTGCATGTCCTTTTTATATCTCGTCATTTCCCAGGATGTCCGCTGCCCGTCCATTCCTTTCAATTTCCCCTTCATGTCCCTGTCATTTTCTCGGTATGTCCACTTCATTTTCCATGTATGTCCCTTTCTTTCATTGCCAGTCATTTCCCTACATCTCCCTTCGTGTCCTTTGGTTTCCTTGTCCTTTGTTTGCCTTTCAGTCCCCCCTCACTCCCCTTGCTTTCATTTCTTTCCCCCTCAGGTCCCTTTCAGTTGCCCTGTGTTGCCTTTTCATTTCCTCTTGCTTTCCTGTCATGTCGACTTCCTGTCCCGTGCATGTCCTTGCATGTTCCTTTATTTCCTCCCCTCATGTCCCTGCACTTCCTTGCATTTTCCCTTCGCTCCCTGGTATTTTTCCGAGAAAAGACATGGTTTTTTCAACGTTTTCGCAAAAAAGACATGAAACACAACATAGTTTTTCCAGGGTTTCAGCAAAAGGAAGCAGAGAGCCGGCAGGGGGATTCAATAGTGGGACCCCTGTCTTGCGACACCGGCTCCCCGAAGACCAGTTTTAGTGGAACGTCATCAGATTACCGCGCGGTACGTGGCCGCCCCCCCCACCCCCCCCGCCTAAACCCTATGTATCAGACGTCGGGCGGGGGGGGGATAGGGGAAAAAATGTAGAAAGGGCTGGTCCTCGGGGGTGGGGGGTAGATGGTTGCCTATTCTGTTTTTTATTTCACAATTCAACACGTGAACCACCTTATCCGTTTTTTCAAGGCTGATTTTGGGGGCATGAAATAACGATATGGATGTGGTAACGAATTGATGATTTGGTCCCCTGTGTCGTTCCAGATTTCAACTTTTAGTTTTATTGATTGAAAGAGGTTAGGACTTTCTGTGGTTTCACGGGTTGGCTTTTGGGCGGGTCTTCTGTTTTCCTATTCTTTGTTTATGTCATATTCAAAATCTGATGAGGTTTCAATGTAATCTCTTATCTCTTCCTGTGTTGTTTGCTGTGTGTATTCTTTTGTTGCTTCTTCAGTCTTTGGTGGTTTTGGATTCTTAACATTGTTGATGTGTTTTTTGGTTCTTTCGTGTTTTGCTTTCTGACTAAGTGAGACCATACACCTACAATATTGACATTCAATTTTTTGTTGGTTGTATTCTTTTCTGTATTCTTGCTTGTGTTCTTTATTCTTTTCATAGTGTTTTTTATCCCATTGAGCGTGTTTGTCTCTATTGTTGTAATAATATGTGTGCCTTTGTCTGATACAATCATTACATTGTTTTCTATCTTTGTCAAAATGTATTTGTTCTTTTGTTTTTAGACATCTTGAGCATTGCTTCGCTTCAGTCTTTTCCATATCAATAAATATATAGTGTTCCTAAGTCTTTAAAAGTGTTTCTAGGTCATCAATTAATTCAGGGGTCTTTATAGGTTAAAAGTTTGCTATAATTATAACATATAAGTTTATAAATGTTATGATTATAGTATGGTTATAGAATAATATGATTAAACCTGTTTTCAGTGTTTCCAGTCTCCTATGTTGTCCCAAGAACTGCTCAAGATGTCTCTGATATTATACCAGATTAAGGTAACGACATAATCTTTCATTTGTGCTCTTTGTTGTATTAAATAACGTAAGACTGACACCAAAGTATAGTAATTAAACTGCATTGCTGTCATTCCTCCTCTTTCATTAATACTATTACCATTCTGTTTAACGAGTTCTTCTTTCATTATGTTTTCGTAAATCTCTTTTATCCATTGATGATTTTGTTCTCCATACTCGGCAAACATATCTAGATATATATCTTCCATTGTTTTATCACTTTTGATTATTTCAATGACTTGTTCATAAGACGGATAGGGGTTATCCTTAATGAATCTCAATATTATCTTTCTATCCTGTTCCAGCTCTTTTTCTGTCACTCCTATCATTGGCATTTTACTGTTTAATATTATAAGGTGTCATTTCTTAAAGTCTTGTTTTATTTTAGATAAGGCACTTATTTTCTTGTTGATACTAGGGAGAGTTAAACCCCACCCGTGGTCTCTTAAAGCGTGTGAATAAAACAATGTTTAATCATATTATAATTGAATAAACTAACATCCATCCTCAACCAAGGGGCAACCATCCCCATCCAAGGGGACAATCATCCCCAACCAAGGGGACAATCATCCCCAACCAAGGGGACAATCATCCCCATCCAAGGGGACAATCATCCCCAACCAAGGGGACAATCAACTGACGCATTGCCTCCAACGACATCAAGGACGATGTTGATGCTGGTTGCTTGTAATGCTTAATCCCCCTTCCATCAAACAAACTAACAAATATGCCTATCCCACTAAATAGTTCTAATAATTTCATATTATTAGAATTATTTAGATATTTATTTTATGGAAAAGTGTCCATACGGGATTGAATTGAAAGCATCAATATAAAACCTTTTATTTTCATAATTACTGAGTGATTGCTTGACTTGAGACATTGAATATATTTGATGTGTTTTGCTCCTGATGAAGTTGTAGGAGATTTCGTGCTTTTTGTTGTGATGCAGTGCTTCATGATAGTTCTGATAGGTCAGTTCCTTCTTCACCTTGTGCTTGACTACACCTTTTGATTTCTTGTGTTCCTCATCCTCGCCGTGGATTGTGAAAGCATAGGATTTAGGTTTCAACCCGATGAATCTAGTAATGATTTTACCGTTGACTTCATCTTTGTACATTCCTAAGACCTTCTTATTTGTTGTGTCATGGCATGGATGTTCAACAGGATAATCACTAAAATCCATATGTTGCTTGATACCTTGAAAATCCTTGTAGATATCATCCGTGAAGGTTTGAATTACATAACTGTCAGTATCTGTATATATCAATTTGATATTTTCGTTGTATTTCTTTTTCAACACACCATAGTAAAACTCATACATATGTAATTTACTTAAATCAAGAATGGTCATTCCTAAGAATATGGGTTTATCCAATTTCAGTTTCGCTTTAGTTTTCTCCACTCCTACAAGATTTTCATTTATGATAAATCTATTTTTGAAAGTAGGATTATTCACACACTTTTCATATCTAACATCATTATCTACCAATTCAAAATCCATATGTTTTCTTTTGTCTTCCATAGTTTTTCCATACACCGCGTTATTCATTAATTTGAACAGGTCTTTCTCAAAGTCGCTCTTCGCTTCTTTCCTTTTGCCTGTGTTGAAGTCAATCCACGGCTTCAACCAAGCCCTCTGTTGAAATTTTATTATCCTATGAACCTTGGTGAGTTTCATACCCATTTTTAGATAATACTGTAAAGTCTTGATATGAACAACATATTTTTCTTTATCTTTCAAATTTAATATTAACTTGCTGGTTTTCTCGTCCTTCGGTTCTTTGTTTCCATAGTAGATTTTGTAGATTTCCTTTTGATAGTCTGACAACATATTAGCATTGACATTCATTATTTCCGGTGCTAGTGGGTAGTCCGAATGGTAGTCGTGTAGTGTTTCTGGATATTCCAAATCAACTTCCATAATATAACCATACTCATCTTTTTCATCCCACTTTTCAATGTTAGGTGTTTTCTTTGCCCATTTGATGTTCTTTAAAGGCAATTTTTGAGACATTGCCAGACCATACAGATTGTTAGCATCTAAGTAATTGATATAACTTGACGGTTTACTTTCATCAAAGGCTTCATCCATATACTTATTGTTTGCCTCAGCCAGTTTATGACTGACCTGACACATACCTCCACGCATTCCCTGTTCAACCATCTCATACATTTCTTTATCATGCAACTGTTCAATTTCAACACCAGTTTTCAACAACATAGCTTCCCAAGCGAAGTTAGGAAGGGTATAATAATGAGCGGGGTCCAAACCGTAGTATTCCATACATAAGTCTCTAAAGTTTTCAAAAACATCAGTCAATAATAAAACATCGGTTCTCAAATACAAATCGTGATATTGTCCTAATGTTCTAATACCGAAGTGTTTCCAAACCTTTTGTGCCCTTTCATAATCTTTGTCATTGACGTGTTCTTCACTTAATTTACTGTAGAACGCTTCTTTTGGCGGTAAGTTTCTTTCAGTAAATCTGTCAAAACTATCAAAATAGTCATAAGGATAAATCCCCTTATCAGTCAACAAGTCCAAATCTTCATCGGTTTTAACATATGGATTTCTAACACTGTATCTAAAATTGTTCTTCCAGTTCTCACGCCTTTTATCACCTCGCGAAGCGAGTGCTTCGGTCGTGTCTGAAGCACTCCCGTACTTACTCAACCTGACCAACTTATCCAACGAAGACGATAAGAAGCTAAAACTGTCCTTGAAACAAAGGTTTTTAAAACCAAAGGTTATGAACTTCTCGCTGTTCTGTGCGATGCAATCGATTTTAGCATTCTTGCTCAGTTCGTGTGCCTTGTTGATGATTAAGTGAGCGTCATAGTTTTTAAGGTTATGAAGGAAGACTGGTATTTTGTAATATCTCATACTAAAAGCAAGATTACAATCATCATGAGCACAACCTCTATATTTACCAGTAAAATGGCAATGGTCGCGAACTTTCCGACGTCCGTCGGAAAGTGGTGCTTGGGTCTCCGACCCATCTCTAACTTTTTTATCCCCTTCCTGAAAGCCCTTTCCACAAACGAAACACTTAGTAGCAGTGTCAAAATCTGTTTTATCGTCCTCAGTCATGATTATCTCTTTCACTTCCTTCATTTTCTTTATTACATCATCTCTGACTTCATTCATTTTCTCAACGAACTTATCCATACAATCTTCGCCTCTGTATAAATAGGGCTCACTGCTTCCAGTGATGGCATTGAC